TGTGACGGCATCATCATCCGGTCGGCAATGTGGAATTGCTGATTGTCAGTCAGCTGCCGGTACGCAGGCAACGCCGGCGAGCTGGTTGGCTTGGACACCGGCGGGCGTTGGTCTCCTTCTGTATTCCTCTTCTCACTCTGTCCTTTTCTCCCCAACCCCCAGCGACGAGACACTCTACGTGTATCAGGACGGCGAACAAGTCCCGGCAGATGCCCAGGTGTACCACACTCACTGCCCGTGCGTCACCTGCAACGAACCACACATCGTCAAACACAAAATCATCAAGGCGTGAGCTCTACACATACATACAGTCACGCACACGAGCACAATCACACATCCATCCCATTTCCTTCCTTCCTACCTTGTTCTCGCGGCGAGATAGAGAAGCTGCATTCCGTTCTGGATGAGCTGTGTACCAAGCATAGTCATGCGTACAACAGCTGATTGCAGACTACCACCGATGACTCGGCAAGAAAATGCAATCATGCCCCCATTCCACTGCCAGGGTTCGAACTCCAGTTAGCGCCGTTAGTGGGGCTCGCGGTCAAGCTGGATAGTAGGCCAAGGCCACTGAGATGGGTCGGTAGTTCAATTCCTGCAGCAGCCGCCTAAGAGGGGTGCAGAGAGGGGTGCAGAGAAAGGGTTTGGCGAGGTGCCCTACGGTCTGCGGCCCGAAGAGGGGTGTTGAGGAAATGGTGAATGCGGCCCGCAGATGGATAACCACAGCTTAGCTCATTCGGTTGGTCCGTAACAATGGAATCGTTTACACGGAAGCATGGGCGACCAGCACGCCTGATCTAGAGTCGGTATGGATTTGCACACGCAAAGACACAAGCGATCGCAGAAACACATGCGCACCATACGGCATGGATGATAGCAGCACTCTGATATAAACCGAACAGCCCATCAAACGCAATCACACAAGCGACTATCACATGCCCTACCAAACCCGGTCCGTAACATCTTGGTCCACTAAGAATCGAGTCGAGGCAGATCTGCCGCTTCCCCATCTCGTCCCGAACCTCTCCCCCCGCTCCACCAACGTCAAGATCTGACTCATCAGCTCAGATCTGTCTACCAGGTGTGCCAATACTCGCTGTCTGCGTCAGGTATGCCAATACTCGCTGTCTGCGTCAGGTGTGCCAATACACGCTGTCTGCGTCAGGTGTGTACTCGGGCCGCCCTCGCTTCGCTCGGGCTGTTTCTGGTGCCGCACCGAGCAAAACCATCGGCTGTGAGGCCTTAACCCCCGCAGCAGCCTCCCTGCCCCCATCACTCGGCTATCCCACCGTACCCCCAGACCTCGGTCTGAGACTCACTCACCTTCCCATCGCCCGTCATGGACTCCACCTCGCCCCCTCCAGCCTCCCCAATGGCTGTCTCCCATGATGACCCCACCACCCGTCGTGCAGCAGTCAAGCACCGCATCCTCGCGCAGCAGATAGCTGCACAGCTCCCTACCGACGGGCAGAAGCTGGCGGGCATGGAAGCCACCATCAAGCAGCTCGTGACGCAGCTCGGCGTTTCAAGCACTTCTGCCAAATTCGACGAGGCCATCAGGATCGTCGCGGCGGCCATGGCGGTGGCCCATGATATGGCCCTGCAAACGAACGTCGACATCGTCTCAGACGCCGTGGCAGACGTCCAGGAGACACTCGCCGACTCGATGCGCGACCTAGACAGCGCCGTCAACCACTTCGACCACAAGCACGAGCAGCTGCTGGGCGGCGTCACTCACGCGGTCGTCAACCTCACCAAAGTGGCCATCCACCAGGACACCCACCTGGATGCCGTCGAGCGCAAGGCCGTACAAGGTCAAGCAAGGGCTGCGCCTCGCCGAGCGGACACAGAAGGCGGATGATATCTACGTGGGACCGGCATTGGCTGTCCCATCGGCAGAGGCGCTCTCGCCCCCCCATCCCACATAGGACCTGCACCTGCTCACCCCGCTCGCCCTCCCACGTGTGTCTGCGCGCGACTTCACGGAGGCCGTACACCAGCTCAACGACGCTGTCGACCCCCTCCCCCCGTCCATCCCAGATGCCCGCCCGCCCCCACCCCCACCCAGCCAACGCAAGCGCCACCGTGCATCACCCGCATGCCCGGCGCCGTCGACGACCCTCGCCCGGCGCCGCATGTCCCGTTGATGCTGCCGGCGCCATCGACAGCAGCGGCGGCAGGCCCGTCGATGCAAGCAAGGCCACCATCAGTGCCTCATAGGCCGTCTCGGCGTCGGGCGCTGCCCATGCCCGCCATGTTACCGGCGTCCGCGTTCATGCCGTCGGTACATGGCGCCTGTGCCAGGACCGATGCCGTACGCACCGTACATCCAGCCCCTCTCCTCGTGCGCACCCCCTGCCCCACAGCCCGGCCCCTATGCACCCCACCCGCAGCTTTTCCCCTCACATGCATCCCCGGCCCCGCAACCTGCCAACGCATCCCATCCCATGTTGGCCCCGATCACGGAGGAGCAACAGGACGAGCTGGACCGCGAGGGTGAGATCTTCTCCCGCTCCACCAGCAGCCGCTCGCTGGCCTCCATGCAGACAGCTACCAGCCTGCCGGGCCCCCACCCACCCCACAAACCGGGCGTCATGTCAACGTGGAGCGGCCTTAATCCCCTCGCCGTCCCCCGTTTTCGTCACCACCGCTAAGGACAAGGGGAAGGGAGAGCAAGGAGGGCTGGGTGCACGCAAGATCTCCACCCGTTGGTTCCATTGTGTTGTTCGTCATTGTCAGCCGCTGGGGATGGTCGTTTTCGCCTGGTGGCTATATTGTATTATTGGCTGGATGGGATTCTGTTCATTCGCTGCCTGTCTCGCGTCGCTTAAGCTAGGTCATACACAACACTCCCCCTTCCGCCCTGTTGTCTCCGTGCTCTCTTGGTCTGCATATGTCGCATCAGGCTCTTGCTGGTTGCTGTGTTCCTCGGCGAGTTTTCCGTGGTGGTCGCTTACTCGCAGCCTCGTATTGTGGCTGCTTATACCCTTCCTTTTTTCACCACAGGCCGCCATGCTGCTGTTTTTCGTATACTTCTTATTGAGTCTCTTCTCTGCCGTGCTTTCGTCATCATGCGCGCGTGCCTGTACCTACTTTACTCCCCGCCCCCCTGCTCGCAGATGGCAGCGATGGCGCCCACCCAGTGAGTTGCATCGGTTGCATGCCATTCAATGGCTCATGCACTGCTCTCGCATCTGCTGGCTGCCCTTTTGGCAGTTCCATCAGGTGGCAGTACGAGTACGTGTAGCAGCTCTGCTAGTAGGTGGGGAGGCGTCCGTGGGGCTACCCTTGCTGTGCGTGGGGGGAGTCTAGGTAGCCACATTGTGGGTGGGTGCAGCGTTTCGTGTGCATGGCGCGTGCTGGGATGGGAAGGGCAGGCAGTCGAAGGGGACGGGGATGGGTGCGTTTCATGCGTATGTAGGAGGGAAGAGGGGCACAAATCTGACTGACTCGTTGCATCTTCAGAGCATGGCGGCACCAGGGGGCATGCCTCGCGTCTCCGGTGAGGGGGGAGGCATGCCGCCTGGGTCGCTCTCCTCATGCGTGCTGGAGGCACGATCAGCTCATCGTACAGGTACAAGTCATGCTTCATTACATGTGGGCGGGGCGTCTGATCCATGCATGTTGCGTGCGGTGTTGTGTTGTGGGCGGGGGATGGGCAAGTGGTGTGCCCGTGTATTTTTGCATATGGCCGACTGGCTAGCAGCACGCGGGGGGAAAGGAAGAGGCAGGGGCAGGGGGCGGGCGAGAGGCAGGCCCATTCATAGACAGCCAGTGCCCACCAGGGGCGGCCCAGCAGGCGCACAGCGCTCATCTGGCGCGGGACGCGGCCGCTCCAGCCGTCGGCCTCGCCCATCCATGCATGGATGCATTGCGTCGATCGGCATTCACGTTTCTGTGTTTGAATATCCAGGACTTAGCGGCGGAGTTCCGTGCATATGGTGATTTGCTGGATGATTTTTGTATGTGGGATGGTTGCAAACGCGTTCGTTATGACTTTCTCGCCTTTATTGAGACGAAACAGGACGAGGATGACCCGCCTGTGGCTCTCACTGGCTATACTTGCTGGTCTTCGCCACGTGCCCTCTTGTGTAGTTCGGCGAACAAACAAGTCAAGTCGGGCGGGGTTGCGTGGTACACGAGTACGCGCGTCACTCACCTGCTCACATGTCGAGAGACGCCACTTTCTAATGTAGTCATACTGAGAGCGGACCAGCAGCTGTTCGGTCTGGACCGCCCAGTGTTTCTGCTTGCCTGCTACGTGCCTCCTTTCATGCGCCTCGATGACGACGGCCAGGGCGGTGAGTGGTGGAGTGCCTTCACCCTGCTGTGTGAGCAACTGGTTGAGGATGGTTATGTGCTTTTGTGTGGTGATTTTAACGCCATGACGGCGACTGACCCTGACACTTTGCCGCCGTCGGATTATGCAGATATTGGCATTGACTCGACAGCACTGCACCCCCTTTTGCTTAATCCACCGACGCGTGTCAGTGATTGCTCTCACCCCTGTAACTGGATGGGCGTCTGGCTGCTCGCTCTGTGCAAGGCATCATGCCTTCTGCTCTTTAATGGTCGCCAGATAGGCTCCTGCCCTGTTACGAGGACGGCTCAGCCTACGTGTATACAAGGGAGGAAGCATAGCGTCATTGACTATGTAGCTGCCTCGCCACAGATCTTCCTTCGCGCCAGTCATTTTTCTGTAGACGACCATGCATTTCATACACCGCACCGATGTCTGTCATGGGCTATCATGCCCGTTGTGGTGCCTCCATCTTTGACTAGCCTTCGTAGCCGGGTGCAGGCAGCCACGCCAAGGCAGGGCAGGGTGAGATACGTGTGGAGCGTGCAGGCTGTCGGTGCTATTCGTGCATCATTGGCGACTGACCCTGCTCGTCTTCATCTACGCTCTGCACATTCTGATGCATGTCGGCGTGGGGATGCCGTTCGAGCGGCAGCCTGCGCGCGAGCACTGCTTGACTCACTGACTCATCTCTTGCATCGGCACGGTCGTCTTATCGACTGTCGAGCGAGGGCTGCACACACCCTCCTCAACCAGCTAGAGGGCGGGCCGCCATTTTGGCGTGTCTAAATGTCCTCGCTCCCCTGAGGTCAATCGTGCAATCTCGCGCGCGTCTCATGCATACCGTGCTTATATATATGCGCTACGATATGGGTCTGCACATGATGCTGCCCGCACGCTAGATGAGTCATTGCGTGCCCGCAGCTATCGTGATCGTGTCTGTCGTAGCCACAAGTTCGCTCGTGCCAGTGCGTTGTTGCGAGAAGTGACTTTTTCGCGCCGCCACTGCCCTCGCGACTTCTGGCGCTTGCTCTCCCCTCCCGGCACATCCTCTCGGTTGCCTGTTGACTGTCCATCCGCTGAAATGTTCGCTGATGTCCGCTGATGTGTTCGCTGGTGCATTTGCCGCGCTTTTTCAAGGCCTCAATGTACCGTACTTCAATGCAATGTCTCCTGCGCTGGCTGAGCTGCTGAATGAGGCGGTGCGCGGCCCGCCTTTGGCAGTCAGCTGGCAGGCACACCAACCCTTCACTTCTGCCCACCTGCATAGTGCCCTGACTGACTGCTCTAAGACGAGTGCACCAGGCATGGATGGTATCACTTACTCCATCATTCGTAAGGTAGGAGATCCCATCGTAGCGGTTCTCAGCATATCTCCATACGTCTCACTGGGGGTATACTAATGACTCTATCATCATTCGTCCTATTCACAAGAAGGGAACAATGAGTGATCCTGATAATTATCGTGGCATTCACTTACTGCCTGTCTTCATGAAGCTGTATGGTAATGTGCTTCAGCCTTTGCTGCTGCAGCAAGCTAAGATATGTCCGGGACAAGCAGGATGTCGTACGAATCACTCCGCCATCTACCCCCTGGACACGTTACGCTGAGCATGTTCGTTTTTTTGAAAATGTGCGCTGGGCGACCGCCCGAAATGAAAAAATGCGTCGGAGAGAGCGAGGATTGAAAAAGTGCATCGAGGAACAGCGAGGCGAATGAAAATGTGCAGTCCAGACAGCGGCCATTTGAAATAATGCGGTGGAAGACCGCATCAAGGACCTCATCAAAAGCCGCCATGGCTTCTACGTACACTTTCCCCCACCATGGATCGCGCTGGGAAATGAAAAGTTTCGTTCGTCATCCTCCGAAATGAAATTTTGCGTTCTGGTCTGTGACCAGCATGCGAAAAAAATCCGTCGGCCAGAGCACCGAATGAAAAGGTACGTAGAGGGCTGAAGGAACGAAAAAATGTGTTGACCAGCTGCGAGTTTGAATGATGCGCCTTCAGAAGGTTACGTGCCTAGGGGGTACCGCCATCGGACAGTGTCTTGTGTTAGCCACACTCATCGAACGTGCCAAGCGGGCTGGCTCTCCTCTCTATGTCTGTTTTGTCGATTTTCGCAAGGCCTTCGACTCGATGGGCCTCGCCGCGAACGCGGCTCGACGAACGGTTACGAGGGGGGAGGGGCCCCCGAGTAATGGGAGGCGATCGGGAAGGCACACCAGGCAAAATGTCGCACCAAAGTCGAATATACACGATGATGATCGCGATTGGCCACGGGCTGAGGTTTAGGGTATCTCGTGAAAGGGAGGATGCCAGAGCCACAACGATCTGACTGTATTTTGCAAGGATCCGGGGAGAGCGGATGAAGAGGACTCAGTCATTAGCGTAGGACTGGTCCAGAAGCCGGGAATCGACTGTTTTTGATGGGTGATTGCAGTGAAAGCACATCCTGTGAAGTCAGATGTTTGTGCGCACCGTGCAATGTCGCTCCCTCCCCCTTGAACGGGGGAGGGGGCTGTTCAAGGGGGAGGGGGCTTCAAACGGCAAGCTTCAATGGGTCAATGTTCATAGGAAAGAGACAATATCGCAGTCGCACACTGGCACAAATTGCAGTTGGAAAGCCGTCTGAAGACTCGTTGTGCTCGGGGGAGGGGAAGACAGACAAAGTGGGGCCTTTCACGCGCGAGTACATGCCAAGAAAGCATGAATGCACCTCATGCTTACTCCTCGATCAATCGTAGCCTGCTTTGGTGTAAGTTACGCGCCAGTGGCATTAGCGAGCAACTCGTTCGAGCTCTCGAGGCTCTGTATGCTAACGTGGAGGCTTGCGTGGATGGCGGGTATGAAGGTTCCTCTGCCATCTTCAATGAGCTGCATGGCGTCAAGCAAGGCGATGTGCTAGGCCCCCTTCTGTTTTCCCTCTCTGTTAGTGATTTGCCTGGCTTCATTCGCGACGGACATGCATCCCCACCTGACCTTCTCACCTTGCTCGATGTGCTCGTCTTCTGCCTGCTGTATGCTGATGACCTCGCTCTAATGCACACTACTGCTGCTGGGCTTCAACGTAGCTTGGATCGTTTGTTTCAGTGGTGTCGCGTCAACCACATGGATGTGCACCTAGACAAAACCAAAATTGTTGTGTTTCATCCTGATCAGGTGCCATCGAGTGAGGCAGACAGACAGGTCTACTTTGGGACGCCAGATAAGCTACTAGAACGAGTGCCGTTGGTCCGCTATCTGGGTGTATGGTTTCATGAGAGGGTCGAGTGGGAGCATCACATAGACATGATGACCAGGAAAGGCGTGGCTGCGCTAGCGGTATATCGTCGTCGCCTTAGGCAGCTTCCTGCCCTTGACCTGCAAACACGCTTCCACTTGTATGATGCCACAGTGGCGCCCGTCTACCTGTACGGTAGTGAGCTGTCGGCGGGCACTAACTGTGATGCTCTTGAGCGTCTCCATCAGCACTACTTGCTGTCCTGTATGGACACTCGTCGTGTCTCTACTGAGGCCTTGCTGTGTGAGCTTGGTCGTTTTTCGGTGCTCTTCGAGGCGCGTTGTCGCCAGCTGTCCTTCTATATCCGCCTGCGCAATCGCAGAGCTGGCATCCTTGCAGAGAAGGCTTTTGCTGTTGCACAGCATGCGTACCGGTCTGCTCCGTCATTCCGGCGCATGCAGGGCAACGACTCTTATTTCCACACGCAAAAGCACAACACATTCACTCTGTTTGCACGCACATTCGATTTCATGGGCCAGCGAGTCCGTATCAGTCAGATTGGCCCGCTGAGTGCTATCGATATCAAACACATGATCACGGCGCACACAAAGGCAGAGTTTGCTCGTATTTTGACCGAGCGATGGAATCGTGCTCGCTTGCCTGATATGCGTAACACTCCCTCCCTTCCTCCGCCCCTCTCTCTCTCCGCCGAGGCGATATCCTTGCTGCCTTGGCGCACATATGCGTGTGGCCAGACAGCTGTTACTCGTAGAGCCCCCTTTCAAGCACGCAAGGAGCTGTTCGTGCCATCCTCTCTGTTCAATCATGCTTTTTCTTTAGCATTTCCTCGCCTACATCGTTCCATCTCCCTTACGTGACTGCCCGTGTGACATGGATTCGATTGTGTGTATGGCGCCATATGTGCCTGCTGCTGCGTACATACATGTGCTGCATGCAACAAGGGCAAGATTGGCTCCATCGCCTCATTCAGCCGTTGCCGTGCTTTCCTTCCTACCTGTCACTGCCGTTTCGTGAGCGTCGTGTTCTGTTTCTTTTTCGTGTTGGCTGCTACCCTTCTGCCATCATGGATGGACGCATCCTCGGCCGGCGCCGCGAGAGGGCAGCGTATGCCAGTTTTGCTCGCACAGAACTGACTTGCTCGTATCTGCCGTGAGCCTAACTGGGCAGTCAATCATGCGCCCTCCCATTGAGGATGAGTCTCATATTTTTGCCTGCTGCCCATTGTATCGTTCTATTCGTGACACACTCCACAGAGTTATTGCCCAGCATGGCGTGACTGTCCCTGATGCCTGTAGTTATCGTCGGTGGCGCAGGTCACATCCCATTGTGTTCACTTGTTGTGTGCTGCAATCGGACAAACTGCCGGTGCTTTCTGCAGCGGCCGACTTTCTTCTGTCAGCACAGGCAACACGCACTGAGTGGCTTGCACTTAATCCATTCTTGCCAGACAGTCAGACAGGGGCAGGCGACGACTTGCTGTACGAACAGCATGTATTAGATCAGTGGGCGCTCGACGTCGAGCTCTCTGACTAGCCTCTGTGCGTCATGCCCATGTCTGCCTGTCCTCTCGTACATGCGCAGCCGGGGTTCACAGTGATTTTTCTGACCATCATAGGGCTGGCATGTGCATGTCGTGTGGGTGGGGGTGGGAACGGGCTGGGTAGATAGGACGTGTGCATGCTTCCATGCATGTGCATGTTGCTAGTTTAGTCCGTGACATGACAGGATCCCCTCCGGGGTTACAGACACGAGTCTCGTTAAACACCCTACCCAACCAACCAACCAAGAGTCGCATGACTGCATGCACCCTTTTCCCATCGCCATAGCTCATCCCGCTCTCCCACTGCCCTCCTCCTCTCTCCCATTCCTCTCCGAAATCCCTTCACCTCCGTGAAACCCCATGTGAGAGTGCCCGGAGGGCCCCTCTTCAAGCAAAAGTCCACGTCAGATGCGAGCAAAGAAAGAAAGAGCCCCTCGTGTGTTAGGCAATGGGGCTTAGCCAGCTCTCGGGGCAACGGTGACGCTCATAGAAACACACAACACTCCAGCCTCAGACACACGCACATGGGCACAGGGGAGGAGGTGGTATGAATATGGCCCCTCCCCCAGACCTCGTCTCTGGGGAAGGGGCGGATGGATGGATGGATGGAGTGGTGAACCACTCTCTAGCAGCAGACTCACGGACCGTTGAAAAATCCACATTCGGGACTCGCGAGTTTGGCGAGCGTGGCACGCTCTTACGAAACAAAGTGTATATCCGTCCGTTTGTTTGTCCGTAATTGGGGCCAAGCTAGCAATTCCCTTCGGTTCCCTTGTGGGGGCTTGCATGCGAGCTTGGGGGCTTTGCATGCATGGGGGCTTTGCATTTCGTTTCGCGAACGCGAGCGAGTCCCGCCAGCCCGACGAAGGAGGGAAACTTCATATGGGAAGGTATATGTGGATATATCTCCATGGTTGGAGGCCTCCGCCCATACGACTCGAGGGCCAAAGGCAAAAGCATGAGCCCCGACAGATCTACGCCCCTCTACCCCTCTTGCAGCGAAAGAGAGCCTATCTACGCAACGCATCTTGCTGAACGGCGACTGAGCCAACCCATCAAATCCCAGCCACTTAACTGCAGGAAAGCAGAGTAGTGTGAGAGTGCCTAGGGCACCCCCCTTCAAGCAAGACAACAGCTACGCCAAGCAAAAACACTCACAGCCCATCACTCACACACAAACACAATGGGACTCTCCCTTCCTTGGTTCAGCCAGATTTCTACACAGCAGCACTCTTGGACGGTTCCTTGTTGGTCTTCTACCTCTTTTTCTTACTCTCAGGTTCGTCCATCAGAGTGAGGCTGTCAGCGCCCACCAGCCCAGTCAACCTGCAGGTCAGCTTGGCGCGTTGAGGCACAGGGAGAGCCTTCGTCAGGACGTCAGCCACGTTCTCCTTGGACGCAACATACTCGGGCTTGATCAGCCCTTGCTGGTATGTATCACGCACAAAGTTGTACTTGATGGCAATGTGTCGCGTCTTCTTGGACGCCTGGTGGTTCTTGATGTTCTGTATGCAGCCTTGGTTATCACCGAACAGAACAGCAGCTGGCAGCTTGAACCCCAGCCCCTCCAGCACATTCCTGAGGTACAGCAACTCACGCGTGCAGTCACTCGCAGCGATGCATTCTGACTCTGTCGGGCTCGACCAGGCCAGTGGATTCTCATCCAAGTAGATGATGAAGCCGCCTGTGCTCTTGGAGTTCTCCTGGTCGGCCCACGACGCATCAGAGTAGGCCACCAATGTGGGTGCGCTCTCGTCGTTCGCATCGCCAGGTATGACGCCAAGATACGGCCTGCCTTCATCCCATCCTTCGCTGCACTTGTGGCACACGTGAATCTTGTGTGGCTTGTGCAGGTTGATGACCTTCGAGCCTGCCCAGATGAGGTGTTCGCCAACTGGAGGCTCCTCATGACGAACACCACAATGCGGGCACCACAGCACGTCAGCCGTGGGTGTGCTCTTGAAGACCAGACCACGAGAGGCGGTTGCTTTCAGGTAGCGCAACACATGGCACGCATGCTTGAAGTGAGTCCCTATTTGGTGAGTCCTGCCCCAGCAGCTGTAGAACTTTGTCAGCTCCTTCGTTGCATAAGCAATGTCAGGTCTCACTGTGACGGCGCTATATAAGAGGCTTCCCACCAGCTCTCTGTACGGCAGCTTGAGTGCCTCTCTCGCCTCATCCTCAGTCTTCGGTCCCATGTCTTTGGTAAGGCGCAGACCAAGAGGCAGGGGTGACGTAGCAGGCACAGCATGTTCCACCCGGAACTTCTTGACCATGCTGTTGATGTATTTCTCCGACCATGCTGTTGATGTATTTCTCCTGCGACAGGGTCATCACGCCCTTCTCCTTGTCTTGACTGATCTTGATGCCCACAAAGGTGTTCACTTTATCCAGATCCTTGATGGCAAATCGACCCGTCTCAGGGTGTCCGATTGCGTCCAGGAACCATCTCGGGTCAGCGTCGCTCCCTGTGTAGACGATATCATCGACCACCACGCCCAACCACAACTGTCTGCTGTTGAATGTGAATATGCAGGGGTCTGCATCGAGAGCTACGAAGCCCACGGACTTCAGCCATTTCACCAGCAGCTGGTTCCAAGCACGCGGTGCTTCTCGCAGCCCATAAATGGCCTTCTGCAGCGATGACGCACCCTGGCTTCTCGTATCCCTCGGGGCACTCCATATACACAGGGTTGTCCAATGGTGCATTCAACCCTGACGCCGTGTTGACGTCCAACTGACGCATGGGCCAGCCATTCTTCTGGATTGCCGCCAGGAAGGTACGCACAGCCTGGGCAGACATCGTGGGTGCGTACGTCTCTTCGTCGTCTCGCAGCACCTGCTCGAAGCCCTTGGCGACCAACCGTGCCTTCTTGCGGTCAGGTTTCTGTTTGAAGACCCATTTGGCTTGGATCACTCTCCCACTGACCGAATCACGAGGTACGTACTTGAGCACACCCAGATCATTGTCGGTGACACTTTTTCGGAAAACAAATGAAAGAAGGGAGAGGGGGGTGCCCATTTCCCCGTCGAGACTCAGGGTTTGGGATTCCGTAAAATGGAATATTTCACTCAAGGGAAATATTCCATCGTCCTGGAGAGATTCACTTTCTCCCTGGAAAGAATGAATTTCCCCCGGGAAAAAGTAGTTTTCTCCCGGGAAAAAGTGGTTTTCTACCTGAAGAAAATGACTTTCTTCCTGGAAAAAGTGAACTTTCTCCCGGGAAAAAGTGGTTTTCCACAGGGAAAAACCTGTGTCTAACGGCTCGACATTCCTGCCATTTTCGCTTCATCCCGATCACCAAAATCATCATTTTCCCAACTTTTCCCTACTTGTCGTATTTTCAGTGCTTCTGACCACTCCCAGTCCGTAGGTCGTCTGTGCCCTTCCTATCCCACCACACTCAAGCCACCAACTCCAAGGAAAGTCAACATCAGGGCGTGACTGGTGAGCCTCGTGTCTCACCACCCCTCCTCACCTCAGAGACACACCAAGAGTTTCCCTACCCGGAGAGAGGGGCCACCCCCATTCAGCCTAAGGCACAGGGCGCCATGAAGCGTGAGTAATCCCCCAAGATGGCTCTCCTCCTTCCGTCAGCTGGGCGGGCCGTCGGCCCGACCCGCTGATGGACCTTCCGTGAAGTTGCCTTGCCGAGGATGAGCCCGAGCGCGGTGCTACGTGTGGAGGGCAGCCGCGTCTCAACACGGATATGGGGTGCACTCCAGCACATGATCTGAGCCCTGTCGTCCATCCACGCCCATTGTGTATATCGGACTGAGACGCACCAACACATGTCTCACAGCCCGTCAACCCTGATGATGAGCCCCGACCCCTGATGACTACGTGATTACGTGTCTATGGAGAGCACGCGCGAGAGAGAGAGAGTGCACACGCAAATTAATTGGTGAGAGGAGAGAAACTGACTGCCCCTGGGGTGTGAAGCACCACAGAGGCTGGGGCCGAGAAGGCCGTCCTGGCATTTTTGTTGGCAGAGTAAACGGTCCCATGCGGACCAGAGGCAAGTATGGAGTGGCTGGGCCACCACACCAACCTGGTGAGTCGTCTGACGGACGACAGGCGAGCATGAACCAGAGCCCTTGGACACTTGTGTGCCCACGGCCATGTCTGTGTGCGGCCCATTCGTCGCATGGCCAGGCATGGAGAGCCGCCTCAAGTATTTAGTCGAAGTGAGGGCGGTGCCTTGGCTGACATTGTCCATGTGTATGGGCCGTGAGGGATGCATGGCGTTGACTTGCATACATGTGTGTGTGGGGCGCACCATGCCCAGGGGCGACACCACACATGGATGAAAGACTCATATATGCGTTATACTTGAACCGACTACCGATTGACGATTACGCACGAACGTGCTGGGCATCCACCCACACATACACATTCATCGAGTCCAACATACACACATCCGTACACTATCGGCCTTCATACAACAATCATCTGCCTGACGATAGCATGGTCATACAGGCCTGGCCAAGCCAGCCATTGACGCATGCTCGCCTCCTACTTCACTCACTCAAACAAACAAATATCACCAGCACTCACGAAGAACTCGGAAGGAACCCTGCATCACGTACAGGAAGAGAGAAAGACCTTTTGTGTAGGCTACCACCCCGCAATTGCAGGCGGAGGTAAGCACAGCAGGGCGCTCGATGCTGCCTCGTCCCTGTGACGTCGCCGGAAGGGGATAGGAGAAGGGGGCCAGCAATAAAGAAAGGCATGAGTAGGAGGGAACCCCCACGGACCTGAAAGAGACACACCCAGCACCCAAAATGAATGAACTCGTCGCTCACCCAGACCGGATGGGCGGGAGGCCCACGAGCAGCCGTGATGGTCCTGCTGAGCCAGGGTCGAGTCCTATCCCGGAGCGGAAAGGCCCCACCTGAAGGCAGAGAAGAGGACCAGCGAGACAAACACTACCCCGTGTCGGCAATGGGCAGGTGAACCTCTCCGCCCCCGACGCCAAGGGAGGGTGACGGACCTCCAGCCAACCAGCGATTACCGCGGAGCCGAAAGGCCGGCCTCAACATGGGCCACTACACAAGCCTGACGGATAGCAAACCACTGATCTGGCAGCGTCTATGTGAACATTCTGCGCACCTGAAATAAGCCAACGAGAGCACCGGACAGATGGACGGTCACCTCCAGGTATCTGAAAGAGGGAGAGAGAGGGGGTGGATGAGGCAGGAGCTCACCTCAACCATGCCAAGACCCCTCCGCCCCAGAAGTTAGAACCTGAGGACCAGAACAGACACGACATGACAACCTGGGTGCATGGATCGCTTCGGTGGGTCACCTGCGACCGAGGGGGAGCGATTGAGAGAGGAACGGCTCCTCGGAGGCGACGCGGCCGACTGGCGGCGCGCCGAAGTCGCTCCTTTCTGCGATTTCAGGACACCAATGTGTAAGTGGCTGGATGAGGGTCATGCCCTCACAGTAACGGGGCCGGGAGAGGCTCGCAGCGGAACTGAAGTGAAACGGTTAGGGTACTAGCCGCGTATAGCTAACAGACGAACGGAGTGGGAAAGCTGGCAAAAAATTGGTCCCCCTTTACCCATTCCCCTTCCATAATTCGTGCGGTGCGGTGCGACAATCATGCATGGCTTAATGCTCCTTGTCCATGGCTTCTGTCCACCCTTCACAATCAGGCCCTTCTGTCGCCTGTCGATAGTTCTTGGGTTCGTATGTGACTTCCGCCACTGGCGTCTCTTGCACGCTGAGGGCCGTAACCAACAGGTCACGAGAGCCGTCAGACATCACCACACCAGGCATGCGCTGCATCGGATCAGACCTCACACTTGAGTACGTGTGTCGGATAGATCGGGAGGCGTTGTAGTGGCCGTGTGGGCGCAGCAACTGCACCCAGCACCCTTCTGCTCGGCCAGACCTCCAACCGACTCCCACCACAACCTACACCACACATGACAACAAGGGGGCTTGCATGCGAGCTTGGGGGCTTTGCATGCATTTCGTTTCGTGAACGCGAGCGAGTCCCGCCAGCCCGACATAGAAGGGAAATACGCGAGCGTGGCACGCTCTTCCCATCCAATTCCTCCGTCCGTCCGTCCGTAATTGGGGCCAAGCTAGCAATTCCCTTCGGTTCCCTTGTGGGGGCTAGCATGCGAGTTTGGGGGCTTTGCATGCATGTCGTTTCGGGAATGCAAGCGAGTCCCGCCGACAGAGGAGGGAAATTTCATTTCATACCCGTCCAAAGTGTTTATCGTCCGTCCGTAATTGGGGCCAAGCTAGCACTTCCTTCGCTTCCGATGTGGGGCTTGCATGCGAGCTTGGGGGCTTTGCATGCATTCGCGAAATCCCGTCAGTCCGACGGAGGAGGGAATTTCATACCGTCCAAAGCGTTTCTTCCCTCCCTCCGTAATTGAGGCCAAACTAGCACTTCCTTTGGTTCCCTTGAGGGCTTGCATGCGAGCTTGGGGGCTTCGCATGCATTTCGCGAAACGCGCGTAGCGAGTCCCGCCAGCCCGACGGAGGAGGGGAATTTCATCATTGGCTGGCCAGGATTTCGGGACTCGCAGTTCGTGAGAGGCAGTGCGGGGGGCGGGGACGAGCCCCGTATAACCTGGCGGCACGCTCTAGTCCTCAGGGCGGAGCACACTGTTGTGTGCGTTGACATTGGTTGGCGGAGGGACCGCAGCATACACGGCGTGCTGCATCGTTCGTCGCTTCGTTGCCCGCTCGCTTGCAGGTTCAGGGATCGCGTGGGGACGAGCTCGCGGGCGTCTCGCTTCTCCGTCGGCTGGATCAGCTTATCGCGTTTCTCCCACCCTCCCAAACTGAGTCCCAGTCTTCCGCCCTCCCAGCCCAGCGTCTTCAGCCATTGCAGGAGCCCCTGACAGGTCTGCTTGGCGAGCACTTCGGCCAGGCGTCTCCTCTCCTCCCCTCCCGCCCAGGCCTGGTCATCTCCTTCTCGGCGGCTGCGTCACCGTCCATCAGCTGCAAAAAAAGAGGAATGCATGCAAACATGCATATGGCTGTGCGTCCTTTCGATGCGGTCAGATGCGGTTCGCAGGTATCGCAGCACCCCGTGCAAGCCTCCTCCCCTGATCGGGCATTTTTTAAAACGTCCCAAATGTGCCGAAAAATATTCAAATTATCTATCTATTTGCCGAAAAATATTTAAAAGAACTCAAATAGATAAAAAATCGGGGAGAAATTTTAATAAGGCGATGACCGGGAG